ATCCGGTTTCATCGATTGCCGCCACAGTGACGAGTTTCAAGGTATCAGCGAGCTTTTCCAGCAACATGTTTTGCCGTCGCTCACGATTTGGACTCGGCGGGCCGTGGATGAAAGAAAAGGGTGAGGAAACTGAACAAAAACAGGTATTTAGACATGTGTTGCAATGATCTGAATTGAACATAAAGTTAAAGGTAAATTCAGAAAAAAAAAAAACGTTGCCGATAAAGCTAGATGCTGGCCGTGCTGAAAAATCAAATATGCAGTTGCGAGCTCTTGGCTGGTGCACGAGAGATGCGCCACTTGATCATATATCTGCCTAAGTCCGATGCAGCTCAATCAAACCCATTCGATGGGTCAATCTTGAGTTTGTCAAGGTGAGGGGGATTGCTTTCAGAACTCTGATTGCAGAATGGAGTTCGAGTTTGCAAACCACAAGCCAGTGGTAAATGGTGGGGCTCCTGAGACATGTTCCTCCCAAAAAAACTCACACATAAACAAGTAGACCACCCTTCGCTAAAACAGTCCTCTTCCTGAGCATTGCCTAGCGGTTCCCATATATCAAATACGAGTGTTTATGTTTCCTACCGCAAGGGTTGCCCATATATAGATATGGATGCAAATAAATACACAATACACACATATATATATATGTATAGTATATTGCATATGTATCATCATCAATATCAATGCACCCAAAAAGGGTTTGTGAACTGCACCGTTTTCATCCCATTCCAGGTCACACAAAAAGGAGGGTGGATGTGATGAGACCGCGATCTGGGCCCGCACCCTGGTCGCGATGGGCCCGGGTGGGCTCGAACGACCTACTGAGAAGGGGCGACCGAGGTGGGTGGGAGGTCTAACAATGGTCTTACTACGTTCTGAGGAGGTGGGACACGAGGCCTAGGTGAATGTTTTCTCTTTTTCCTGTGCATGGCTTCTTTGGGGGGACATTTTGTCTATTCTATTCTATCTACTATTGAGTGTATCATATCCCATCCCCTGGAACATTGGACGATGATGGTCAGTAGTTGGTGGAAGCCTTTCTCAAAAATAGTGATAAGCCATGATCGACTCCTACAGGTCATGGGGCACACACAATCTATCTATGTTCGCTTCATGACCGCATGATTGGCGAAAAATGCCAACCGAGCTGCATCCACTCCTCTCGGGACAAGGTGGCATTGTTACACTTTCCAGAGCCGCGAGAAACAGAGGCAGCAACATCCTAGCAAGCAAGGCTGGCCATCTGACATCACAAAGAAAAACGCATGAAAAAAACGATCCTTGATCAAAGCCAGGACTGTATAACACTATAATCTATATAATATATAACACTAACATCATCTAACATCAACACAAACACCAACTAGCATCAAAACCAAGCATCAACATCAACTGACTCATGGACTCCAAAAAATAAACAACCTTGAGGGCATAAGGACGGGGCCCGCGTCCGTCGGTGGTGGCCCCTTTTTTCAAGTTGGGAAGAAAAAGAGCCGAGCGCTTCGGAAGCGTCCTCCAAAGCCTGAATGGTCGAGGGAGCCAAGTGAACCATGGGGCCCACATCATCCGAACTTCCATGTGCCACCGAGAGGGCTTTTTGCTCCTCGGAATGCGGGTTCTGCAGTCGATGCCTGGAGCGGCTAGATCTGCAGCCGGGCAGATCCCAAAGCTTCATCCCACCAAAGCTAGGTCATGCCATTGATGACATGGAAGTGGATATACCCCTGATTATAGAGGAGAATGGTCTGTCCAGGGGCCACTGTATGCGTCAACTTCCATGATTGGAGAGGAGATACTTGAGCCGGCCAATTGGACCCAATTCTTGTTCACCAACCTAGCCGACAAGCTTCAAAGTCTATGTGGGGCAAAGCATGGCAAAAATACATACTGAATAAGATAGTCTCAATTGAGACGACCTAAAGAATCCCACACCGGAAGGGGGCCCTCCGCCCTGAATTGAACAACCTCAATCCCAGCTCAATCCAAGCGATGCGGATGTCTTGAGAAAAGCCAACTGCTTCATCTTCGCAAGCCCGGGGGTCCCCCACACCCAACCCCTCCAAGCTGGACATGGCTCCAAATCACCAAAGAGGTCGGCTGAGTGCTTCATCTGCTGCACAATGCACACGTCCATGACCTTCCTGAACATGCTGGATCTCACACAGCAAATCAAAGGACTCAAGATGGTCATTTGGAACCAACTTCAACCCGATCATTCCTGACAGTGTCTACATTGTCTACATGATCAAAGGCAGTCAAAGGTTGGAACGTGGCTGACAATGTCCTATCCAACCCTAGGCAAATGATTTCACGCTGATATTCCAAAAGCCACCGGTACGTCTCGAGAATTGAGGTGGTTACGTGATTAGGGGGCGTTCTGGGGATCGGGGGTCCAATGACCAATGCTGGTCTAATCAATGTCGCGTCATCAATACCGGCAACATTAAGATTGAAACTGCAAGTGACCTTGGTCCATACCAACAGTCTCAAGCTAACATGGCGCCGGCGACAGTCGCGTAAGTGACTCTTCCACAAGCTATCACCTCTTTTTCACCATACCTTGACATATGTACATGATGATGCATCTTGCCTTTTGGGGGCTGGACTGCTAAACGTTGTCAGTTGTATAGTCGTCATGGCCAGTAAACGGAATATTGGACAACCTGACCTGACACCAGTAAGATGTGATTTTATTGTATTTCTTAACCGTTTCATAGCCATAGACATAGATAGTCATGTCGACATGTCGTCTATGTACGCAGTTGGCACCTCTCGGCCTGCCCCAGGCCCTGCCAGAGACAAGGTATGGACTGATGTTCCCCAAAGCAAAAGGTAAAGCAAACAAACCGGCAAAACAAGCAACACAAAAACAACGCAATACAATTAAATGGACTTCCAGCAGGCATGTTTGTGTATTCTGTCTCTTGGTCAGTTTTGCTTCATTTATTTGTTACATGCTTATCACTTACTTTGGCGTCTGGTCTTGATTGTTTGTTGCTTTGCTTTCACTTTTGTTTTGCTGTGCTTTTCACTTGCTTTTGCTTTGCTGTTGTGCCAAAGACATTTAAGAGGTTTGATGTAATGTCATGTATAGCCGACATAAGGGTCGACATTTACCGCGTGGACTAGAAAACACTTGCTCATTGCTCATGAGACTTTGGGTCCTTCAGTATTCAGTTCCCACTAGCCCTGCTTGACTCTCTGAGTCCAGCTTTATGGAGAAGCTTGAAAACCAGGTGTAGAAATACAAGCCAGCCAACAAACAGAAGCACATACGCTAGCATAGCATAACGTAAAGATCTGCTATACACTTTCGGCACCTTGCCTGAGAACCGCTAGTGTAAAAAACTATAACTAACTAACCAACTAAATCGAAACCATCAATCACTACTATACACACGCATTGAGATGCGGACTGCAATAGCAATAAAGGGTTGGTATCCTGCTGCACTGTGGAGGTTTGGATATATTTTGTGTTTTCATGTAACTTTTTTGCACCTGGGAGAAAAGCTCACTAAAACCAAAACCACTTGAGGGTTGTGACAAAGACTCGCACAAAAACAAATGGTCGGCCAAAAGAGCTTCTGGCTTGACCATGGATAGCAAATACCAATTGGTCCACATGTTTTTGCTTGTTACACAATGTATGCAGTTTGTCTCATTTTGTATTGACATCGTTCATACCTCCCATGACATCCCTTGATCCTGTGAAACCCAGCGTCGTGATCCCCGGGGTCCACTGGTTGCCGGGCATGCCCTCAAGCAAGGACCAGCGATTCGATTCAAAGACCTGCTTCGAATCGCTTGGAATCGGTGAGGATTGGGCGATCCACCGAATCGGTGCGACGAAAGTAGGGAAATTGGGGGGGAATGAGTCCGCCTCGTCAGGTGGATTCGCAGTGGTTCGGGGGCTTGCTGTAAACAAATCTTGCTTGGGACATGCTATAACCGAGTCCTTTCCCTCATTCCCTACGAGTCGGTCCAGCCTGGTATATATATAATCATATATATGCGCTTCTTTGACACCCAATACATATACCCCACTGAAAACTAACATAGACCCTGAAAACCACTGGTTTGTAGAGGGGAAAAGTCCTTGAGGGTGCCATTCTCAGGGTCCATTAGTTTTCGGCAGTGTATATGCCTTGGTTCACATATTGTCTTCCGGCTCAAACCGATAGGGCATTGTACAGTGAGACTGGAACCAGTTCTTTGGGAGCATATGGTGGTTCTCTCTATGTGTATACAGTAAATATATATATATATATGTTTGCTTGTTAAAGTGATATCTACTGTACATATATATATATATATTGGGTCTATCCTAATATTTTAATACCTGTAACGGTGGATGATGATGGTTAGTAAAGGCCTTGTTCAAAAATAGTAATATTTGTTTACTGACTGTTGCAGGTATTAGGACAAACCCAATATATATATACACCTACATATAAGCTTGGCAATTATATCTACAAAGGGTCTTTGGGGGAGATAACGCTCTCCTAACTCCCAAGACCTACCGAATATTCCCGAAATGCTTCCGACCAAACGCGCTGGAAAGAACTGGCGGGTCCTCTAACCTAACGGAATGGATCCAGCTCAGGGTATATCCTCCGTATTCCTCCATGTCTATCATCATGGTGTCGCAAAAAAGTGAAGCTCTGAATTCTGAGTGCGCCTTGTTATATACTTGTCGCGTGACGAGGGAGCCTTCTCACAACGTGTGTCCACCGCACCCGACGACGGACCGGAGCGGACCGGTGAACATCCACCCGGTGAAAAGCGCAGTCATAACGCCGCTGAAGAGCCACTCCCAAGAAATGGAGCGCCCAAAACAAGGAGGTCCTTTTGAGGAATAGGGGGATCGGTTTAGTACCAGATAGTACGACCAGATATTGGTTGTACACATTTGTACGCTTGAGGGCATACCTTCCTTTTAGTTTTTAATCGACCAACAAAACAAAGGCCAACCATCACACGACCCCAAACCAAACCAATCAAGCGCTGCGGGCCGCGCTGCGGGCCTTAATGGATCGATTCAACGAACGCCAATTCTCTTCTGCTTCGTGGCCCGAGTAGACGAGCAAGCTGTACTCCACCACAGTCGAGGCCAGCTCCGCTTGATGACTGGCCATATTCAATGCAAAGGCTGTGGCGCTCACATTGCGCGCCTGGAAGGAGTCGCCCAAGTGACTCGAGTTTGGGTCGGTGATCTCGAGTCTAAACAGATCGACAAAGGGAGAGTGGGCAAGGTGTTAAACCATAAGTCAGAGGTGTTAAAACCATGTGTTTTTTTTTCCCGGCACACCATGTTCTGCTTATATACATGGTTTTCTAAACAAAGTCGCCTCACATGCAACCGGAACCGGTACGGGTGTCGTGCAGGGTGCCCTCGCGGAAAGAATACACAATACCACGAAGCATCTGTTCAGGTCAGCCACGAACGGTGATTCAACCAGTACCAGGTGGCTGTTGCCATCCACTGTGGTTTTTGTGCTAACGTAGTTTGTTCGGCCAGGCTAACAAAGGTGGTCTCTAAGAAGTATATAAGGCTTCTTTTGCCAGGTGGCTTCGCATTGAAGACCCGAGTCGTGAAGGGTCCAAAGACTTTACGCAGCAAGCAGCAAAGCATTTCTGACACGTGAGTGTGGTACACGGACTGGCCACTGCAGGTGAATGCAGCCCCAACAGCCAAAAGATTGCAAAAACATGCAGAAACCCAAATGCCAAGGTCTGCAAGGACCCCTACATCATAGGTCATAGGTGGATGGTGAGAGGGCGCTGGATCTGACGGGGTGCCATTATGCCATTGTACTTTATTTTTGTTTTGATATACGTTCTGTTTCTGCCACATCTTTTTCATTGCTATATTTAATATTGATTCCCCAATAGCCATGCTATGGGGTCTTGCAAAACTAATAGGCGGACGGGCGCCGTCGGGTCACCGTCAGAGCTGGTGGGCGGATGGTGTCCCGGTCATGTTTTGATGGCGTCCGGGTCATGTGATGCTGGTGTCCCGGTCATGTTTTGATGGTGTCCCTATCATGTTTTGATTGTGACCCAATCATGTTGTGATGGTGTCCCGGTCCTGTTTTGATGGTGTCCCGGTCGTGTTTTGAAGGTGTCCCGGTCATGTTGTGATGGTGTCCCGGTCCTGTTTTGATGGTGTCCCGGGCATGTTTTGATGGTGTCCAGGTCGTGTTGTGACGGTGTCCCGGTCATGTTTTGATGGTGTCCCGATCATGTGATGG